CCCTCTCTTCTTCATTTCTTCACTCATCTCTCATTTCTCAAACTCATATTCTCAATTATCATTCTCTCATTACGTTTCTTTGTGGTAACATTGGAGCTGCGAAATCATCAAGTGTTCAATTTATTACCGAATTCAGTGCACTCCCTCCAACTCTTTCTCTTATTTACTATTTTATTTGCATATTTAATTTTTGCTAGTAGTTAAATTTTCACAATATGTTTAATGCTGCAAAAAGAGTTTGTAATAAGGTTACTAATCAGGGATATAAAAAAAGAGGTAGTACTTCAGCATCTGGTAGTAATTTAAATGACTCTACACATATTTTTAAAATATTACCTGATAATAATATAGATTATGAACAATTACATGAAGATTTCGGTATAGAAGATAATGAACTAGAAATGGAAGATGAGATACCACTTACCACCTAGTAGTGTTGGAGCTGGTAGCAGGGGTGGTGGTCGTGGTGCTAGTAGTAGACCACATGTGGCCCCGACTACTAATTGGAGAAAAAGAAGTAAGGTTTGAAAATTTTTTGACGAAATAGAAGGTACTGATAGAGTTAAATGCAGACTTTGTAATGATAATTTTAAACATAAGACTGGAGGACAATTATGGGAGAATGGGACACTTAGTAGACATATGAGAATTGAGCATCCTATAGAACGGGGCTCTGATAGAGATGTAATCAAGCAACTCTAAACCCTACTACTGGAGGACTTATGAAATATAATAAAATGAAGGATCGTGAGGAGTTAGCAAAAATGATTGCTTTGGGTTGTCTACCTTTTTCTTTTGCTTCTTCATCATATCTTATTAGTATATTCAAAGGATTTATAATCCTTTATTTAAAGGTATCCCTAGAAGTACTTGTAGATCTGATATCTTTAGACTTCATAGATAATATCAAACATACATACGTTATTTGTTTAGCCACCTTCCTTGTAGAGTTTCTCTAACTTCTGATATTGGCCATGCTGTTAATGAAAATGATTATTTGACAATTACATGTCATTGGATATATGATAATTATTGTATGCAAAAACGTATTATCGCTTTTAAATATGACAAAGATCAGAGTCATAATGCTGTGTTTATAAGTACTACTATTTGCGAAGTTGTTGAATTTTATAATCTTAATAAAAAAGTATTGTGTATGTCTATTGATAATGCTTCTAACAATAATGCCGCAATTTCAATATTAAAACTGCATTTGCAACCACCACTTGACGAAATTTTTCATTTTAGGTGTGCATGTCATGTTTAAAATTTAATTGTTAAAAGTGGCCTTGATTTATTTTCAACTGAGATTACTCATGTTAGAAGAGCAGTTGGTGTTATTCAAGGAAATAATAGACAATCTAGAATTAGGGAATTTAAGAATAAGTGTACCGAGCATAACCTTAAGCCAGATTCATGCCAGACGAAATTGTTACTAGATGGAACTATACATATATATTTTTAAATTTTTGCTACAAATATAGATTCCCAATAACTGAAGTTGCTAATGCGCATTGTACTGATCCAAACCGTATGTTAACAACTACTACTTGGGAGGCCATTAATGATGTTGTTAAATTTTTACATAAATTTTATACAGCTACTGTTAAGTTTTCTGGAGCATATTACCCTACTGTTACTATGGCTTTAGTACATATAGCTGAAATTTTTTTTCTACTCTTTGAATTTAAGAAGAAAGAAAAATATAAGGATGTTGTAAAAAAAATGCAAGCAAAATTCAAAAAATATTTCTTTCCAATTCCTTCGATTTACTTAATTGGTGCTGTTTTAAATCCTTCTATTAAGATGTCTGATCGTCACCAATTAATCAATGCTTTATATACTTATATGGAGATTGGACCAACTGAAACCCCAAATATATATGTTTGTATGAACAAGCTAAATAATTCTTTACAATAATTATATAATTATTATGCAAATATAATTGATGATGCTGCTCTTAATGTAGGCAATGTTAATCCCACTATGCATTGTACCACTTCTACTACTGTGGATGATGATGAAGGCCTTGATAGCTTTAATATTTTTTCTACATTTTCTAACACTCAAACCAGTAGCAGGAACATTGATGAACTTCAATTCTACTTGCAAAAGAAAAAAGAGCCTCGTACAAAGGAATTTTCGCCGTTGGGATGGTGGCATGAGAATGGAAAGCAATTTCCTGTTCTTTCCGCTATGGCTCGGGACGTGCTGAATGTGCCAATTTCAACTGTTGCATCAGAGAGTGCATTTAGCCAAGCAAGACAACAACTTGGAGACACCCGTCACTCATTGGGAAGCAATGCTTTGGTAGTTTTAGTATGTTTCAGAGATTGGATTAGATCGGAACGAAGAAATCAAGGACGTGAAGATGTTGATAGCCCAGAAGACGAGGAACTTGGAGATATATTAACACATGGTAACCCGTCTGAATTTAACACTCCAGAAGAAGGCCAATCAGTTCATATTGATTATGAAGAACTTACTAAGGCAATGTAAAACCTTTGAATTTACTCTTTTTTCGTTAATTTACTTGTTGTTAAATGTAACCTTTCAATTTGTATGTTTGAATTTTGAAATAAATGTAGCACTTGCAATTTATAAGTACAATTTTTTTCCATCTTTACTGTATTCTTTATATTTTTACTTTATATTAATATAATTACAATAGTTATACAAAATACAAAAAAAAAAAAAAAAAATTAAAAATTACACTAACCCGGCCCGGCCCTTTGTACCCGTAACCCTTACGGTTTATTTTTTACCCGGATGAACCCGAACCCGTTAAGCTTGGTAACCCCTAACCCGTAACCGGCCCGGTTCTAAACCCGTATGGTTCCAACTTTTCCCTACCCAGCCCGGCCCGGCCCACCCGTTAGACACCCTTACCCAAAACTGAGATTCAAGCTCCTTAAGATATACCCAAGCTGTTTTAATAGCACTCACTCAAAAGAATTGACTAATATTAATAATATTTTATGAATTTGCCAATTTTTATAATAAGTTACTTATAAATGGACATAGCTTGTAGTTTCCTATTGTTTTTTCTTACAAAGAGAGATACGCACCCAAAACAAGTCTGCAAAAAGTGAGATTCTTATCATTATTTTATTTTTAATGTGCTTTTTTCTTTGATTTAGTTGGTCACAACCATATCCTACTACAGAACAGTAAACAAATGTGCTAAACTAGATCAAAGTCGGAATCATACTTTTACAAATTGTTTTTTTCCATTACTTCCTCGCAGGTTTTCTGAGGAGGAGTGTGTATATGTTAGCATAGAAAATTAAAATGTATTTCCTTCCTTACTACCATGTGAAAAAACGATTAAAATGTCAGAAACAAAACAAAAAAAGACGTTGCTCCAAGTGAATTCAGATTAGTGATATTTAGAGTAGAAAAATAAGCGTATCACCCTGGCTTGAAAAACCATAAGCACGAGTCTCTTGCACAATTGTTGCTAAAAGTTCAAACTGGTGAAGTGTCAGTTTCTCAATAAAAGCAACAACACAATGTACTTAAATATGCCCTATTAACAAGATACATACATACTTCTCCACATTCTAGCTTTGCAATACCTAAATCTGTATCCTTTCTGCAGACATATGTACACTGCTTTTACATAATAAACAGAAAAGAAAAGAAAGATCCTAAATTATGGAACACAATCACAGATCAAATCTTCATACTGGAGGCACGTTGCCAGTTTCTCTGCTCCATGAGATTCAGCATCGTCTGTTTTTTGATTGTCCTCATGATGGGTTTTGGTTTGGTGTATGATGCCTAGCCTCTCCATCCAAATGATACTGGATGTCAAATGTCAACAATGTTTCAGAAATATATATTGGTCTAGTGACAGCAATAACTACAGAGTGAAACAGTTGAATCTTCATAACCAGCCTTGTCCCACATAAGAAACCACGTAACAACCGTCTTGAAGAAAGCAGAAAAAGTTCAAATAAAGGATTCAGCTTGCAACAAATCAACCTAAGTTCACATGTTCCAATATTAAGGATCTCATTTATTTCTTCAAAACAGAAGTAAGACAAAGGGCACAAAGTGGATAGTTGGACCACATACTGCTTTTGCTAAGAGGACCACCACACAACCATAAGTTGCACATGTTGAAGGGAATATTGCTCAACCACATCTAACTGCAGACTATAATCGTTTAATACCTCCAAAATTCTGCCAGACTACCTAACTAAATTTGCACAGGTGCAATGCAACAAGTTTGTAGCAAAAGCATCTCTTGTCATACAAGCAAAAAACTAAAAAGTCAATATGATATGATAATCTAAAGTGCACATTAACTGATATTAAAGCCCTTACCAACTCTAAAAACCACCGCAAACTACCAACATGACATGATAAGGTGATCTCTTCCGTGAAATCAATATTAATTATTATGTGCCAGACCAATCTCTTCAACACCCTCAAAAAACAGGTAAAAACAGAACATAAGCAAGCTTGACATTCGCCTATTATAGGGTTCCACCCACAGAGTGCAACCTTTTCTAGACACATCGATTCACAAAAAAAAAAAAAAAACTACTTTTAAACCTCGAAGCCTAGAACTTATTTGACCAGATATAAGCTACTAAGCAAATTAAGATGCCCGCCTAAGTGTTACCCTTTAAAATATTCCGTTACAAATGAATGGAGATGACTCACATATATTATACATCTATAAAACATACCTTTTCCCTCATCCGTGAACTCCAGATGTCAGAATGGCCAACCTTCGCATCTGCTTTAGCTAAACCAGATGTTTGGCTTAAACGTGGATCAAGCAGTGGCTCCCTTGTCCTTCCAATAACATCATAATCTCCCTCCATATCATGGCTTATTCTATGATCACTAACCAAAGCTCTGAGAACAATTGCGAGAAGTAAGGAGGATGCCTGGAAACAATGGTAACAATAAGAGTTTACCACAACATGGACATAGACCAACCAAAAGGTTAGAAGATATTTTTCAACATTACACCAATCATAAGAGGCCAAGCCAAAAACCACATGTGGCCGCACCTTCTATTGTATTTGTATTTCCATGTTTTTCATTCTTTTCCACCACTCATGCTCATAAATTGATAACATACGAATTTCAGAATGTATCATACAAAAAGAGGACTATTTACCAGAGAGTTTCACACTCTTGCCCAGTATTAAAGAAATCATACAATCCATAGAGCCCCCACCAGATTATTTTATCTTCTTTCCTAGTCGCTCTGTCAAATTTAGATGCCCCTTTCGCAAAATGCAAAGTTTCTCCAGATAAATATAGCATCTTGAATGTTAACTTACGGTTTCAACAGTCACAATTCACATTATAGCTATATCAAAACATGTCTTCAAATAACTTACACACTAGTAAATCCAAACTTTAAACACTTATGAGAAGCGTCACCTGATATGGATTAAGGGTATTCAAAACAAACAAGGAATCACAAAATCTTACAAGACCTTCACGTTCAAAGAAAACCTGCCTGAATTATAATGACAGCAATGCCAATCCACTTGCAAACATCCATATTTTGTACAATAAAGGTGCGCAGGCTGTGTAGTTCTCCAGTTGGGTCCCTTGGAAGATCCTAGGAAGAGAGTAAACAGGTGTCCTAATTTGAACTTTTAACAGGTAAACTAGGATAGAACCTCCAAACCCTGAAAAGAGCAGATCTGAAACAAAAGGTTTACCTTCTCCCATTGACGATCAAGTGCAATAAATACAACCAGACCTATTTCCACGAGCACAAAAGCCGTCATAAGAAGAGAGTACTAGTATTTTTAAGTAGTCAAGGCTAACAATCAATCAGTAATATCTATTTATAACAATTCATCAATTATCACATAATTTAAGACATGAAACCGGCAATGAGAAGATATATAATGATGTGCAGTGAAACACCTTTATTTTATTTTGTTTTTCATTTTTCATTCGGTCACTATATGAAGCTGGAAGATAACACGACATACTAGAAGTTAGGAAACAAACTTCATGATTATCATATTATTTACCTCCAGTGGGTCTACCAATACGCTTTTCCCTAAAGACCGATTCAAGTTTCTTTCCTTCAAATAATAAGGTAAAGAAAAGCTTTTGGTGTGAGTTTATTCAATGCCCTCCCCTCTTGATTTGTTTTCTGAAGCAAGCATACAACATCAACAAACCAAGCTAAAGAAATTTTAACAGTAAGTGAGAAGTCAGAAATTCCTGGGATAGTTAGAACTGACAATCCAACAGCTCTATTTACAGATATCACATTATACATTTAAATGATTCACACTTTAGTTTTCTATTTTTGCAAAAATGATCCCTTTCATCATATCCCCTTCTGAATTAGACTTGAGGCATAGTTGGTTGTGTAATCGACTGATTGATTGATCCCTTTCATCATATACTCTGAGGCAACATATAAACATATTAATAGACAGCAACCCTAACAGAGGTGAATGTGTTTTACTTTACACTTCTAGGTAGTTTATCATTTTCCTTATTAAGCATTCTAGACAACAACTTAACAGTCATTATACATATACATACATATAACAGAAACATAAACAAAGGAAGCAGTAGAACAGAAAAGATAAAGAAGGATACAAAGCAAAGGAAACATCCATTAACAGCTTCAGCACCAACATGCCCAATACAAGTGATACAACATAAGATTACACCAATTCCCATGAATGCATATATAAACCTGAACAAACAAATATAGCAACATGTCAATAACTAATCATATCGCCAAAAAAAAAAAAAAACGAAAAGAACAATACCATGGAGCTGTAAGCGAATGTTTATTCAACATAATTAAGCCAAAATTGGAGAATTCGGAGTCAGGATTAGGAGGAAGAAAGTTATTGTGGTGTTGCCAATGGTTAAGCATATAAGCAGAGTAAATAATAATGGAGACACCAATGAAGGTTTGTAAGAAATTGAGGAATTTCAGCAGAAATGCTATGAAGCCTTGACAACATGGCGTTCCCATTCTGAGATTTTTCTTCTATGATTCTACACGGAAAACCCTAATAATTTTCTCAAAACAATAGTAGAATTGTGCTCTGTGATCTATTCCTGTTTCTGTATATTTTTGGTCAAGCAAAAAACTGTGGATGATGATGATTCAGCTGGCAAAACCTTCTTTGTTTTAGCATAATAAAATAATTGGGCCAGGTATATTTTAGTTGTGTTGGACATTGGGCTAGTGTTTGCAAACTAGGAGTATTATTTATTGGAATTTTTACCTCCTATAGCAAAGGTTAACATCTTATTTATGTTAAATAAATATCATTTAAAAAAATTATATTCTATAGATACCATTTAAGTTTTATAGCAAAATATTTAATTTTGATTAGCTCATAGCCCTAAGCCACTAAATACGCTAATCAGTTACACTATTTTCTTTCTCTCTCTACTTTGATACATCCCATTGTAAAATATAACCCTTTATCTTAATACCCTCCAGAATTTCTGTGGATCAGTTCTGTCATTCAAACCCCATTGAAACAAGGATGAGTTTGGAGAAGAGGTGAGTGTCACACATCTTTTTTCCCCAACCCTTATTATGTGGTTGAGTTAGAAGAGTTTTTCCAATTAAAGTGACCTTTTAAAAAGGAATTATTTATTATTTAGAGCCGCCACTTGGAATTGAGTTATGGTGTTCCAAGTCACCTTTTATTTGAAAACCCTTTCAAAAGGAATGTTTGACTCTTAATTATGGTCTACGAAACAGAAGACTGAATAAGGAATTCTGTTGACCGAGGGGAAGGTGTAAGGCACCCCTCGAGTCCTGTGGTTCTAGCAGTCACACCTCCTTTTTTCTACACCTGTGAGGGTGTAAAGGAGTTTTTCCAATTAAAGGACAGTCGGAACGGGATTTATTATTAATATTCAGAGTCGCCACTTAGGAGATTAATGGTGTCCCAAGTCACCGGTTGAATCCCGATCCGAGGAAATTATGACTCTGTTAACAGTCCGCGAACCAGAACTCCGAGTAAGGAATTCTGTTAACCCGGGAGAAGGTATTAGGCACTCCCGGATTCCGTGGTTCTAGCACGGTCGCTCAACTGTTGTATTTGCTTTTATCTGATTTTAAAACATATTCTAACCTATGTGCCTTTTATTTTAACCGCTTTTACTTTACGTCCTTTTAATAAGAATTGCAACGTCGTGAAAATGTATCTCGAACTACGTTACACCAGTGCACCCGTGGCTTTTGACGCATTTCGACTCCGTTGAGATTTAGATTTGGGTCACATAAATGTGCACCCGCATTCAGGAAGGTAATATTATTAAAATACGCGCCTAAAGCAGCTACGCTTTTATTATCTTTGGGGAAAACCATGAAATTCGCTAAACGGTTCACCCGAATTCTAAGAATTAATAAAATATTTATTGAGGGCCTCGTAATTTGTGTATTTTGCTTGGCGAGGCTCATCTCATTTATTATTTAAAGGCAAACCTAAAAATAACTATGNACAATATCAAACATACATACGTTATTTGTTTAGCCACCTTCCTTGTAGAGTTTCTCTAACTTCTGATATTGGCCATGCTGTTAATGGAAATGATTATTTGACAATTACATGTCATTGGATAGATGATAATTATTGTATGCAAAAACGTATTATCGCTTTTAAATATGATGAAGATCAGATTCATACTGCTGTGTTTATAAGTACTACTATTTTGCGAAGTTGTTGAATTTAATAATCTCAAGCAAAAAATGTTGTGTATGTCTTTTGACAATGCTTCTAACAACAATTCCGCAATTTTAATTTTAAAACTGCATTTGCAACCACCACTTGACGAAATCTTTCATGTTAGGTGTGCATGTCATGTTTATAATTTAATTGTTAAAAGTAGCATTGATTTATTTTCAACTGAGATTACTCATGTTAGAAGAGCAGTTGGTGTTATTCAAGGAAATAATAGACAATCTAGAATTAGGGAATTTAAGAATAAGTGTAACGAGCATAACCTTAAGCCCAGATTCTTGCCAGACGAAATTGTGACTAGATGGAATTATACATATATATTTTTAAAATGTCGCTACAGATATAGATTCCAAATAAATGAAGTTGCTAATGCGCATTGTACTGATCCAAACCGTATGTTAACAACTACTACTTGGGAGGCTATTAATGATGTTGTTAAATTTTTACATAAATTTTATACAGCTACTGTTGAGTTTTCTGGAGCATATTACCCTACTGTTACTATGGCTTTAGTACATATAGCTGAAATTTCTTTTCTACTCTTTGAATTTAAGAAGAAACAAAAAATATAGGGATGTTGTTGAAAAAATGCAAGCAAAATTCAAAAAATATTTCTTTCCAATTCCTCCGATTTACTTAATTGGTGCTGTTTTAAATCCTTCTATTAAGATGTCTGATTGTCACCAATTAATCAATGCTTTATATACTTATATGGAGATTGGACCAACTGAAACCCCAGATATATATGTTTTTACAAACAAGCTAACTGATTCTTTACAATAATTATATAATTATTATGCAAATATAATTGATGTTGCTGCTCTTAATGTAGGCAATGTTAATCCCACTATGCATTGTACCACTTCAACTACTGTGGATGATGAAGAAGGGCTTGATAGTTTTAATATTTTTTCTACATTTTCTAACACTCAAACCAGTGGCAGGAACATTGATGAACTTCAATTCTACTTGAAGAAGCAAAAAGAGCCTCGCACAAAGGAATTTTCACCGTTGGGATGGTGGCATGAGAATGGAAAGCAATTTCCTATTATTTCCGCTATGGCTCGGGACGTGCTGAATGTGCCAATTTCAACTGTTGCATCAGAGAGTGCATTTAGCCAAACAAGACAACAACTTGGAGACACCCATCACTCATTGGGAATCAATGCTTTGGAAGTTTTAGTATGTTTCAGAGATTGGATTAGATCGGAACGAAGAAATCAAGGACGTGAAGATGTTGATAGCCCAGAAGACGAGGAACTTGGAGATATATTAACACATGGTAACCCATCTGAATCTAACACTCCAGAAGAGGCCACTCAGTTCATATAGATTATGACGAACTTACTAAGGCAATGCAAAACTTTTGAATTTATCATTTTTCGTTAATTTACTTGTTGTTAAATGTAAACCTTTCAATTTGTAAGTTTGAATTTTGAAATAAATGTAGCACTTGCAATTTATAAGTGAAATTTTTTCCCATCTTCTTTGTACTCTTTATATTTTTACTTTATATTAATATAACTTACAATAGTTATATAAAATACAAAAAAAAATTAAAAATTACACTAACTCGGCCCGGCCCCTTGTACCCGTAACCCTTACTGTTCATTTTTTACCCGGATGAACCCGAACCCGTTAAACCTGATAAGCCCCAACTCGTACCCGACCCGGAACCTAACCCGTACGGTTCCTAAGTTTGCCTACCTAGCCCGGCCCGGCCCACCCGTTAGACACCCTTAGTCTTAAGTTCTAAATGTTCTACTGCATAATCCGAAAAATTGGTCTGCGTGCTTCTTTGTTAATGTGTGGAGGCTAGCACGAGCCACTCTTTGCTTTTATGTGTAGTCATATTTGTTTTGAATGCGCGATTAGTTTTATCATTTCTGAGCAACCTAAATATGTCTAGAACCACCTAAATGGAGGTTCAATGCCTCCTAGACCATAGGCATGGGACGAGTAGTGCACGCATAGGACACGACTTAGAATTGAACTAGAACGCTTTAGGTAAACAACTTCAACATAGTAATCGGGTAGCAGGAGATGATAGTCTGTGCCTGCTGAATAATATGAGCAACTCCCATCGGAATACTCGATTGGTAGTTGTTGTCGTTGGCAAACTCTGCAAGCGGCAGAAACAGATCCGAAGAACCCCTCGAAATCCATGACACAAACGCGTAGCATATACTAAAATATCTGAATAGTGCGCTCGGACTATCCGTCCGTCTGAGGGTGGAATGCTATACTCAACTCAACCTATGTGCCCAACTCTCGCTGCACTGCTCTCCAAAACTGCGATATGAACTGCATGCCCTGATCATAAATAATAGACACTAGCACACCGTGAAGGCGAACAATCTCGCGAATATAGATCTCATCTAACCGCTCCAAAGAATAGGTAGTCCCAACTGGAATGAAATGCGCAGAGTTAGTCAACCGATTCACAATCACCCAAATAACATCAAACTTCCTCGAACATTGTGGGAGCCCAAGTATGAAGTCCATGGTGATTCGCTCCCATTTTAATTACAAAATCTCAAGCCTCTGAAGCAAACCGCCGGCCTCTGATGCTCGTACTTCACATGTTGACAATTCATGCACCGATCTACAAACTCCACTATGTCTTTCTTTATTCTCCTCCACCAATAGTGTTGCCTCAAGTCCTGCTACATCTTTGCGGCACCCAGATGAATGGAATACCGCAAACTCTGGGCCTCCTCAAGAATAAACTCATGTATCCCATCTACATTGGGCACAACAATCCGACCATGCATTCGCAACACCCCATCATCCCTAATAGAAACCTCCTTGGCATCATCGTGTTGAACCGTGTTCTTAAGGACACGCAAATGGGGGTCGTCATACTGACGCTCTTTGAAGCGATCCTATAAAGAAGACCGAAAAACCACACAAGCTAGAACTCGACTAGGCTCCAATATATCTAACCTCACGAGCTGATTGGCCAAGGCTTGAACATCTGATGCAAGCGGTCTCTCAACAATAGGAATAAATGCAAGGCTACCCATACTCACCGCCTTTCTACTCAAGGCATCAACCACCATATTGGCCTTCCCGGGATGATACAAAATGGTAATATCATAGTTCTTCAGCAGCTCCAACCATCGCTGCTGCCTCAAATTTAGATCCTTTTGTTTGAACAAGTGCTGAAGACTCCAATGATCTATACATACCTCACAAGACACACCGTTGAGACAATGCCGCCAAATCTTTAATTTATGAACGATAGCTGCTAACTCCAAATCATAAATAGGGTAGTTTTTCTCATGAGGCTTCAACTGGAGTGAAACATAAGCAATCACTCTACCCGCTTGGATCAAGACACACCCAATACAATTCCGAGAAGCATCACAATACACTGTATAAGAACGCGATGATGAAGGCACAAGTAGAACTGGAGTCGTGGTCAAGATAATCTTGA